GGACAGCGCAGTGGCCACATGGAGGTGGAAATGAATGGCAAGCCGCCATTTAATAAAATAGCTAACGGTGGCTGTGTTAATGAATGTAACTCAGAGAGTCGAAAATAACTACTAACATAGGTAGGTAGGATAGGAATATCACAACCAATTATGACCTCAACTGGTTAATAACGTCCTTCCAATGATTGCTCAGTTTGTACCCATCTTCTCGGTTGAAATTGTGTCTGTGTTTATATATCTGGATGGCTTCATGAACGAATCTTTGTTGATAGCCAGTGGGATTGCAGAGTGCCTTCGTCTTGGAGAAATAAATTTCACGTGTGTCCACAGCGTTAAAATAATGATCAGCCACGGCTGAGGTATTGGTCCTACCGTGTTTCAGATCTGCCTTATGTTCACGGACCTGGTCCGAGACATGTTGCTTAGTTTCCCCAATGTTACTGCTGCCGCAGACACAGCTTAGTTTGTAGACACCGGGGTATTGCATGTCAGGGATCACATCCTTCACAGATGGGATCAAATCACGAATTTTATGTACTGTGTTGAATCGTACCTGGATCTTGTGTTTACTCATGATTTTGGAAATATTTTTGGTGACCCCTGCTATGTATGGCAAGGTGATAGTTTTGATTGGGTCCTCAGATAGTTCTCTCCCCACGGTTGGGTTGACAGCTTTACGGATTGTGTAGTCTGAATATCCATTCATCTTGAGAGCTTGGTGTACGTGCTCCAGTTCACTGGCGAGGTGATGATGGTCGGAAATACATCGAGCTCTATGGTGTAGAGTTTTTTTTAATGAGGGAATTCTTCTGGGATGGATGGTGGTGGGAGTCAGGTTTTAGGTAAGCATTCGTATGGGTGGCTTTCCTCTAGAGAGAGTGTCCCATTGAGCCATCAGGTCTCTTTTCGATTAAAACATCCAAGAATGGTAACTTGCCATCCTTTTCCATGGTGAATTTGATAGCTGGGTGTATGTAAATGATGTGGTTGAAGAATTGGTCCAATTATTCAACCACATCAATTCCAAGAATTGGTCCAATAACATTAATTTAAAAACAAACAATATGCAACCTATTCTTTGGGTCTTTCGGTAAAGTCACGTAGATCGGTTGTTATTTTCTTTCAATCGATCTACATAACTTTACCGAAAGACCTAAAGAACATGAATTCCTGCAGTCACGAAAGCTTTAATTCAAGATTTAACATGTAACCTTTTCAGGGAACTGACCAAAAGATCTGCTGCATGTTGGAATGACTGGCAAGGCGACGTGGAGGCGTTATTGTTGCACTGCAGGGACACCGTGACGCTGTTGTGAATAGATGATGCAGCCTCCCCGGGAGCTTTTTGTTTGATCTCATGGCACGTGGTGTGTTAAATTTCGTAAATGCAAATTTTTTTATTTCGTTGATCGAAAAGTGTCCGTAATTTGTCATTTGCACTCACGCGAAATTTCTGTAAGCCGAACGTTCGTAAATCGAGGGATGCGATACAAATTGTGTGCAAGTTGTGACCAAGTCAACGTGATTTTTGTAACTTGTATTTTTCCCTCTTCTCCCCCTCCATCCGTAACGCCTGCTTCACGCGTTGGACCCCAGCTCGTGACTACAGAGTTCAACGTCACGCATCGCCTCCACAACCCCAAGTTTTGGCCGCCAATGTGGAACAAGCGGTCATATTTGACCGGGGTCAGGCTGTGATGGCAGAGCGAGTTCGGGCAGTTGTCGCCGATGGCCATGGGAACATGCACGTGGTGGAGACCGTCGAAATTAACGCCATAGGTTAAGTTTCTATAGCATTGTGTAACACGATGCAAAACTAAATTCTCGGCGTAAATTTTACGTTGACAAAAATTGGTTGCTCGCTTACACAGGCGCATGATATGTACTGCGTGCAATCTATTCTTCACGAGAATTACACGGCTTGGGGCGGTACTTATGATTAAATGATCAAATGCATAGCAAGGCAATTGCACATGGCACGTGATCTCTAACGGCAGATCGTGCGTAATGAACAGGCCGGTCGAGAGACACCTGGGCTTTGGGTACAAAATGTCGGTTTGGAGTCCCCCATCTCTTCCCATCCCCCCATCACCATATTTAGCTTGGATAGTCAACAGTCTTCAATTCAATATTACTCTTTCGGGAAATCCTATTAATTCTTGTATTTAGCATGCACGCACTCATACTTTGCCCATCGCGGATTTTATCATCGCGGATTTAACCATTAGCACCAAATATACATCGCGAGATTCCTGCATGTAAAGTACTCCAACTGCACTGCGCGCGATGACGCTGCCACTGAAGAATGCACGCGCCACCTTGCGTCACGTGCAGCCCATTGCAGGTCCCAGGTCACGTGTTCCCAGCATCGGACACACGATTTTTCTTACTTAATCTTTGTTTTATCTAATGTACTGTACACCAAGGCCGTAATCATAATATATATTGCTATAAAAATTTTTTAAAAGTAATAATAATTGCTATGCTATGGAAATAAAAAACAATTTGCTAAACCTTGGCCACAATATCTGGACTTGTCTTCATCTAAATCAATGCGTAGATTTCTGTTTATATGATTGTGGTTATGGTTGTACTTTATTAATCCCTGATCTCAAACATTACATACAATGAAACAAGAAATGGTAAGAAAAAGTAAAAAAAAATAGAGCAATGTAATATAATAATACACTATTAGACATTATTGTAAAAAATAAATAAAAAGTACATCCCACGTGTTAGTGAATTTTAAAATATTTTAGGCAGGAAATGGCAGGAAATGAGTTTTCAAATGTTTATATTTTTCTGGGTTGGGACCCCCAGACCCCCTGGAAGTTTGGTCCCCCCCCCCCTCCAATGTTGACTCCATGGCTATGGCCTTGATGTACACGTCATATTTACATGTTTACATACTTCCTTGTCCGTGTTTGGGTTTAAGGTAGGGTAACATACAATGCATAATGGACCGTGAAGCAAGCCATATATATATTTCCCATATGCCATTGAGTTTGCGGATCGCGGAATTTCCAATTGCGGCAATTTTTTTAAAGGACATAACCCACCCGCGATGGGCGAGGTTTGTGCGTGTTCATCAGATGCAACAATACACTCGTTTGAGCCTCCTCCTATACCCGATACCACTTCATTCTTTACACTGACGCTCTCCCTCGGAAATAAAGACAAAATCCACCGTGACAATCCAAACCCCGCACGTTCGGGGAAGCTGTGACACAATGTGTTGTTAGCCACCGGGGCCCGGGCGGGGAAAGGCGAATCAGCGGGGTTGGCCAGAGGCCCCCCAGGACGGGAGGCCACTGCAGGTTTAGGGGCCGTCCATAAATGACGTCACGCACCTAAGAGGGGAGGGGGGGGAGGTCAGACATTTGTGACGATGTGTGACGAGGGGGGGGGTTGAGAAATGTGACGTCACATCAAAATGCGTAACTTTAAATACAAATAGACAACACGAATAAATTATATAGTCTTGGTTCTTTCGGTAAAGTCACGTAGAAGGGAAACAATAAAATAATAAAAATATTAAACAATAAAATTCTCACGACGTTTCGACTGCAACACAAGCAATCATCATCAGGTGTGAATGCTGTGGTTTTCACACCTGATGATGATTGCTTGTGTTGCAGTCGAAACGTCGTGAGAATTTTATTGTTTTATATTTTTATTATTTTATTGTTTCCCTTCTACGTGGTGACTTTACCGAAAGAACCAAGAATATGAATCCCTGCAGTCACGAAAGCTTTAAATAAAAACGTTCTACTTCATTAAATATACTTTTTAATAAATGTTTTCTCCTACAACATCAGAGTGCAGCGCCACATTAAACACGCACTACAATGACAATAGTTTAAAGCGATTTGTGAGCATGTTTTATTTATTTGGGGGGGGGGGCAGAGCTTTGTGACGTCATATTTGAGGGGGGGGGGTCTGACTTTTTGTGACGTCGTGTGACGAGGGAGGGGGGGTCAAAAAACTTCCAAAATCGCGTGACGTCATTTATGGACGGCCCCTTAGCTCCTGCATCATCAGAGGGTCGGGATGTATTGGTGGCTATTGGTGGTCTGCTTTGCATCCACCAATCTTCGAGTCGACTCCGTGTGAACATCGTCAATGCCACCATCTGGCCCATGTCCCATGACTGTGACTCGCCACCTATAGCGCCTCGCTTGTGGATGTCCCTCTACAAGTCTCGTGCGGTGTGTCGGAAGAGGTCCTGGTGGGAGGTGGGGGGGGAGGTGGGCAGAGGAGGTTGGGGGGGGGGGGACGGGGGGTGTGGGGTAAGGTGGGGGGGAGGTGGGGTTGAGGTGGAGGGAGGAGGTGTGAGGAGGGGTGGAGGAGGTGGTGGGGGAAGGGGGGGAGGAGGTGGGGGGAGGTGGGGGGGGAGGTGGGGTAGGTGGGGGGGAAGGGGGGGAGGAGGAGGTGGGGGATGTGGGGGAGGTGGGGGGGAAGGGGGGAGGAGGTGGGGGGGAAGGGGGGGAGGAGGTGGGGGGGAGGTGGGGGAGGTGGGGGAGGTGGGGGGGAAGGGGGGAGGAGGTGGGGGGGAAGGGGGGGAGAAGGTGGGGGGGAGGTGGGGGGGGGGGAGGTGGGGTAGGTGGGGGGGAAGGGGGGAGGAGGAGGTGGGGGGGAGGTCGGGGAGGTGGGGGGGGGGAAGGGGGGAGGAGGTGGGGGGGTGGGGGGAAGGGGGGGGAGGAGGTGGGGGGGAGGTGGGGGGGAGGTGGGGGAGGTGGGGGGGGGAAGGGGGGGAGGAGGTGGGGGGAGGTGGGGGGAGGTGGGGTAGGTAGGGGGGAAGGGGGGGAGGAGGAGGTGGGGGGGAGGTGGGGGAGGTGGGGGGGAAGGGGGGAGGAGGTGGGGGGGAAGGGGGGGAGGTGGGGGGGAAGGGGGGAGGAGGTGGGGGGGAAGGGGGAGGAGGAGGTGGGGGGAGGTGGGGGGGAAGGGGGGGAGGAGGTGGGGAGGAGGTAGGGGGTAGGTGGGGGGGAAGGGGAGGGGGGTGTCCATGTTCGTCAGCTCGTGCCCCCGTGTGGCCTCTCGCCGCAATTTGTCGACGGAGTTGCGAACGTCGCCGCACCGGCCTCAAGCCTCTGTGGTGGCCCCGGCCTACACGGCCTTGAGATCGTCAGCTCTGAAGGGAAACGGTGTCCATCTCCTCGTCCTCCTCCTCGTCCTCCTCCTCCTCGTCCTCGTCGTGGTCGACCTCTCGACGGCGGGGTTGAAGGAGGCGATGGCTGGCGTGTCGGAGGGCGCCGGCGTGGATAGAGCCGTGCGGGTGGTGGGGGCCGAGGCGGTCGACTCGTACACGGTGAGGGAGACAGCAGCAACAACAACAACATCAGCAGCAACATCAGCAACAACAACAACATCATCATCAGCAACATCATCAGCAGCAACAACATCAGCAGCAACATCATCATCAGCAGCATCATCAGCAGCAGCAACAACAACAACATCAGCAACAACATCAACAACAACATCAGCAACAACAACATCAGCAACATCATCATCAGCAGCAACATCACCACCAGTAGCTGTAACCTCATCAGCACTAGAATCAACATCATCATCACAAGCAGAATCATCGTCATCAACAGAATCATCGGCATCGGCGGTTTTAGTGTCATCAGCAGCAGGAGCGTCGCTTTCACACAGCCACTAACATTAACATCGTTACTACAGCCCTCACTGTCATCATCAACACTTGTACCATAGCCAGCACCACGATCACCACCACGACCACCACCATCACCACCGCCACCATCATCACCACCATCACCACCACCATCATCACGATCACCCTAGACAATCACCTTCAACGCCAACACGTTGATCATCATCATCATCACTATCACCACCACCACCACGATCACCCTGGACAATCACCTTCAACGCCACCACGTTGATCATCACCACCATCACCACGATCAACCTGGACAATCACCTTCAACGCCACCACGTTGATCATCATCACCACCATCACCACGATCAACCTGGACAATCACCTTCAACGCCACCACGTTGATCATCATCATCACCATCACCACCACCATCACCACGATCACCCTGGACAATCACCTTCAACGCCACCACGTTGATCATCATCACCACCACCATCATCACCACCACCACACAGCAACCACGAACACCTCCACACGATATCCGTTGTCGCCACAACCACTGTCACCATCAACATTAACTATCCACTACAGCCACCAGCACCACCAGCACCGCCGCACCGCGCGTGTGTGTGTGTTAAATCAGTGTCGCTGTGTAGGATGTCCTTGTCATTCTTGTACTTGTGTTGTTGTTTATGTTGTTGTTAATTGACGTCGTATTTCCTCATCTGCGAGAGAAACCAAAGGCCGAGCTGAGCCTCCGCTCTTGCCTGGAATTCTGCCGCGTCCGGTGCGAGGGACCCCCGCCAGAGCCTCGCGACACGCGGGGGTGGGGAGGGGGGTGGTCGGTGCTGTGTTTATCAATTAGTTTACAATGATAATCTACTTATTAACCTATTGCGACTGTGTTTATAGGTGTTGTTGCATTCGATGTTGCGTTGTGAGTGTGCATTCAAGCACACCTGTTAAGTTTGCGGTGTTAGATTATGTGGCACTGTACTGCACATCCGTTAGCAATGTAATTATGTGAGTAACAATTCCAAAAGCGACTTCATTGAGTTATCATCTGAATGTAATTGTTGTACTAATTGTAATCAGATTTACCAGGAGGTGGCAGTACATCAATGGATTCTTGAATCTGTCTGTGCGGAGCTGTGAGTTAACTTCGCTGTTCCTCGTCACCGTAATTACCAACACCACAATGCCAAACACAATGCATGGCTTTGGCCAAATAGCCCTAATGCAGGACCCTCTTAAAAACACTTTCTTGAGACTCGAGAAATTATTGGATAAGGCTACCCGTGAGCTTTATTGTCATCTTCACGTGCAACATCGTTGATGCTCTCAGAATATTTTCAGCATGATGACTCAGAAATAGTTTTCATGATAATCTTACTTAATCGTCAACTTCATCATCATCTTGTGATGAGCCCTGGTGACTGGAAAGTTCATACTGCTTTTAGTAGTAATTGTCTACCCATCATTAACTCAGAAGGCACAATAACTAGATACTCCCACGCCATGCGGCTGCATTTCAATCGACGTTTGTTTCAGGAAAGCCTCGCAGAGTCTCAAGACTCTTCTTCAAGAGGGTCCTGCTACACCGGGATGTTTGGTCAAATTCCATTGCAGTGTTCTGTTGACAGGAAACTGGAGGAACCCGGAGGTACAACCCAGCGTGCACGCAAGCGGGATAGCTGGAGAACGCCTGTATAGATGGGATCAGAAACTATTCAACGAGAGCCATGTAGTTATTTTTCAGAAGCGACCTGACCGCAAATGATAGCTCAACGAAGTGGCTTATCACGTGGAAATGTATAGCAGTCAAATACTCTTAAACGGGTGATGGTGATTCTAAATGTCGAGGGAAAAACCGCAGTAACAGGAGAAAAATCCACGCAACCACGGGGAGAGAGACGCGCAAACTCCAAATATACAGCAGCAGGCGTCGGGGTTGGAATCAAACGCACGACCTCCTGTATAAAAGGCGAGGTAGTTAACATCTCCTAGCCACCGTGATGATGAGAAAGAGAGATGCGCAAACTCCAAATATACAGCAGCAGCAGGCGTCGGGGTTGGGATCGAACGCACGACCTCCTGCACACCAGGTTAACATCTCGCCAAATGGGATAGCACGAGAACAGCTGCACAGACAGGCTCAGAAACCCAGTTGCCCTACTGCCTCCCCGCCACCTCACAGCCCGGCGGGTTTGGGAGTTTCACAAGTCTCTGCGTGATCCACCAGCCCTTGCCATTAAAAGTAACGGGCATCGTGCACCACCGCTTGGTAGTTTTGGCGAGGCACAGCTGCGATCCAACGCTGGAGGCAGTGAGGGTTGCCGGATCACGCGAATGTTGCGAAACTCCCTTCCCGTGAGCGTCCAGGTGACGTGCACTGGCTTGCCAGGAGAAGGTGGTAGAGAAATTGTGGACTAGTCGCCATCTGTTCCATCTGTATAGGATAGCGTTGCCCCCTTCCCGCGTGTGGGTTTTCTCTGGGTGCTCCGGTTCCCCCACGTATATAAACCCTCATTAATTTGCTGAAAACCATCTTAGTTCGTTGGCATCTCTCTGTGTTGTGGATTGTGCAGGGTTGTGAGATGCAGTTTGCATGAATCGTGCTATTTGATGAGACAATTTTACAAGACTCGCATGCACCCTCATTCAATCAGGAGACCCAGTGTAGAGCAACCTGATACATTGGCAGCATTCCTCATGGACACTTTTTACCCGTTACAATGACATCTCCGTATAGATAAAAGGCAAAGTTGTGAATATGTGTTGTCTGTTCAAAATGTTTAGCGTACTTCCCGACATGCAACAAACTTGAAATTTGCCATGTGGGTACTTTCCATACTGTACACCATGCAAAAATTATAATAATAGACTTTTTTTTTGGGAGGGGGATGCTCAATAATGCATTTTTTTTTCAGCCGTGACGTCAAATCTGTCATGTGACCTGCGCATGTGGAAGCGTAACGCTACGAACCCGGCGACCCGAGTTCAATTCCCGCTCACGGCCACCACCTGTGACGATTATTTTTACCGGTCCTGGGCCTCCCCTAGGTCGACTCAGCATCAAACGAGTAACTGCTGTGGTGTGTCAACATCGCCACTGGGGAAACAAATGCAGCCGGGCGTGCTGCTGGCCACCCACCCCCTCGTACGTGTATAATTCCAAAACTGAACCGGAAGAAAAAGTAAAATAACTTTATCGGTACTGAGGCTCCCACAAGGCCGTGCGGGAGGGCATGTGGCAGGGTTTGGGGCCAGCTACCGCAGAGTGCGGTCGTGTCGCTACAGTTCTCTGCGGTTCTCTGCGGTGAAAGCAACGTTTTTAAAAACAACGGCGCTACGCCTCTCTTAACAAAATTTATATTGAGCCGCTTGCACGTTCCGAGATTCGGCGGTGGACGGGACACCCACCCTGCAACTTGCAGACGTCTCGGAACGGGAAAGAGTTAATCGCCGTCCAAAAGAAGAGCCTCTCGTTTTCAATTTACCCAAGAAGCAATGTTCCGTGCTGAACCGAATCGGATGCGGCTACCTCCTGCACCGATGGAAAGTTAGAATCGCCCACAGTGCGACTGCGGTCACCGATCTCGAACCACGGGACCACGTAGTAACGCCACTGATCATTTAAGTCTATGGGTCTCTATGTGAGTCGTCAGATCTCTGTGTCGTAAGTTTACGAATCTCACACACGTGATTCTATGGACGTCTATGGGAGTCCGTGGATCTCATTGTCAATCTATGAATCTCCCCGTGAGTCTGCACCTGAAACGATGGACCACATTGTGACGCCACTCTCAATTTCAATAATTCGCAGGCAAAAATTAAGATATTTACCATGAGGCTACCCCTGAAGCCATCCACAGGCTCACTCGCGAGCCACGACGTGAATGTCAATGTCTCACAGTTTGAAAAAATAAGTCGTAAGTCCGCAGAACTTGCTCTCTTGGCTTGGACAGTAAACCATATCAATCATTGCCAGGCTTAGTGTCTGGGCTTGACTTGTTAGATATAAACGTGGGGTCAGAATTCACAAGTTCGTTTTTTCCTTCACTGTCATAATTTTTCCGTCACTGTGTTTGCAGAGAAGTGCTCACTTGACTGAGCGTCACGTCAACCTTACAGGGCAACGGAGGTGATCGTGTGCACAGGAATTGGACAGTGGCGTGTCTGAGTGCCGGCAAATGTTTGACTCCTGTGAGCTGATGTTAATGATTGCGCTGATAATAATGTACAGCTCCTTTGTCAATCCACTGCCGTACGATGTTTTCTCCATGCCAGTCATGGGGTTGTTCGACCGTGCTTGACCATACTGGTCATTGCGGATTGGTGGTGGGGAGCATAGAAGTACAGTGCAATAATGGGAGTGCCGTATTTATGGTGGGCTCCCGAAAAAGCGCCGTCCAGGTTTAAACACCGCTTAGCTTCTGAGACTGACAAGTGTGGGTCCATCCAGGGAGATTTTGTTCAAGTATGTGTGTATACATCTGGTATATCTATCTATATATGGGTGTGTGTATTTATGTGTCAAGTAGTGGGTGTGCAGTGGTTACCGCGCTGCGCTTTAAACTCGGCGACCCGAGTTCGATTACCGCTCATGACCACCACCAGTGAAGATTATCTGAACCAATCCCGGGCCTCCCCGAGGTAGACTCAAAGACTCAAATGAGTACCTGGTGCGGCGTGTGAATGCCGCCACTGGAGAGACAAAGGCGACCGGGCGCAGTGCTGGCCACCCCACCCCCACGTGTGCCGTGCCGGCCTTCATAGGTGCCGCTCGCTAACAGCACTTGCCCCAACAGTCTGTTAAGGCTTCACAGTGGGGGGGGGGATCTTCGTCTTTGTGCGTCTTGCCTCCAGGTTTACATTATAGAGGTGCGGGTCGGAAGACACCGTTGGACCGTAAAACATCGCTACAGCGCCTTCCACGATCTTCACGAGCGAGTGAGTCTGCGCCTACCACTCTCCTGTCCCACAATGCCAGTGGTAAGAAGTTGTCATCGTCATCATCAGCATCATCAGCCATGGTCTGTGCACTGCCAGATGAAGGCTTGCCGTGTCAGTCGTGGGGGCTGTTGGGCCTGTTTCTCCATCCTTTACCGCGGCTGGTGAGTGCGGGTTCTTGAAAGTGGGGAGCATAGACGTGGAAGCATAGTACAGTGGAACAATGGATTTTTGCTGTTCTTTCTGTTTGTGTGCATGGTGGTTGCCCTGCACACCAGAACTGTGCAGGATCAACCCTGCTTCACCATCATCAATCACGATCCATTGGCAGATAGCCCGTGCGTGTCAGCCTTGCTTAGCTTCTGAGATCTGTTGAGATCCGGGTGCATTGTGGGTGATGCCGCGTGGACGAAGGGTTGAACGAAGGGTGGCAGCGGCGACGGCGGCATAGCGCTCGCACGTTTGCCCGATTGCTACGGAGTGACCGCTCCGATTATCACAGCGGGCGCAGTGACGACATTCATACGTGACGTCCGCTTCACGGTGGACTTTTCAAAGATCCCACGACGTGATTGTTCCCTTTTACGGAACATTTTAAATAAGTTAGCCGGATCGGGGGTCGGCAGACGGGGACTGTGGACGAGGCGTACAACCCCCCGCGGGTTATACTGGTGCCGCACTCGGAGGGTTTGGAGGGAAACGCGCTCGTCCTGGTCGCCTCTTTGAGTTTTTATTTATTACTAGCTTAACTACCCGGCTTCGCCCGAGACTTGGATTCTTGTGTCTTTGATTAATGCACGGCCTACGTGGAGAGTTGGGGGGGGGGGGTGATGCGTGACGTCAGCAGGCACTCTGCGTGACGCTGCAGCATGCGGGTGACATCACAGATGTGACGTCACCGCTCACTTGCCGTGCAAAATATATATCCATTATTGCGCGCCTCCCCCCCTCCCTTCAAAATACAAAAGTAAATTTTTATACTTTTTGCATTGTGTACAGTCTGGAAGCTACCCACATGCCAAATTTCAAGTTTGTTGCATGTTGGGAAGTATGCTAAACATTTCGAACAGACACATTCACAAATTTCCCTTTTATATAGAGAGAGATGGGTGCTGTTTCGATTATATCCCTCCCTCCCCTTGTCATCCCCTCTCCCTTACAAAAACAACATACCCTTACCCCCTTTCAGTGGGGCCCCATCTGGTTTGGGGCAGCAGGTATGCTCCCCCCCCATCTTTCCATCCCCTGCTTTTCATGACTGGTGTAGTTTATGCCGACGGCGTGCACGTGCGGCGTGCCTGTGCAGCGTGCGCGTGCAGCGTGCTCGTGCGGCGTGTGCGTGCTGTGTGCACGTGCTGTGTGCACGTGCTGTGTGCACGTGCTGTGTGCACGTGCTATGTGCACATACGTCACAACATGATGTAACGGGGCCTGCGCATCGCCTCGATGAAAAATGAAAAAAAAGATCCCGTGACGTTTTTCGCAAGAGTAGGCCGACCTGTGCCGGCGTCACCGTGGGATTTTATTTATATTTACATGTTTATATAGCAGTCGCCTCCAACTGGCAACGAGCCTCGCCCAGTCTCTTTAAGTTCTTGCCTGGTTCAACGAAACAAATCTTTAAACTCCCCCGAGCAAATTCCTCACCCTGGTTTACAAATCTGCCCCCGTTCTCGCCCCGACGTATCCCGCGTCACCTTGTTTCACTCTGCGCTCCTTCTCGCCCTCTCCGTTCGCAATCCAAGCTGCCATCTCTCTCTCACCTCCCGTCCCCATCGCGAACTCCGTCCCTCTTCCCAACTTCCCTACCAACCCGTCGCACTCGCTCATCATTAACCACTCATTGTCACTCTCACCATCGTTTTTTTTCACGCATCGTCATATTCGTCACGCACGACCATCACCTCCCATGAACTCATCTCATCTCTTCGCGATATTCCGCTGTGCAAATGAGCAATTAAGGCGCCAAGTGAATTAAAATAACACAAGAACTGCAAATCGCACAGTCCTTTCGCGGAAGAGTAGGCCAAAAATATCCACTCTGTGATCCGTTCCAGCAGCAGCAGCAGCGGCTTGAGGAAGAGATTGCAGGGCTGTGCCTTTATCTTTGACCTCGTTGACCCCCCCCCCCCCCCCCACGGCCGGCCACCCTCAGCTGGTTCAGCAGAAGCAGGTGGAGCGTGCCCTGCTGCCGCCCAAGAGGATTCTGGGTAAGAACTCCCGGGCGCTGGTTGCTAGGCGACAGCGGGAGCTGGAGCAGTACCTGCAATCCCTGATGGAGGTGCGGAGGGGGCTGCCTCTCCCCCCGGCACTCGCCACCTTCCTGCACTTCCACTTCTACGTGAGTGCCCCCCGCCCCCCCCCCCCTTTCTCCGCCCCCTTCCACCCGATCGTCAAGGAGGGCCCCACCACAGGCAGCCACCCACCCACCTCGTGTGCCGTGCCGGCCTTCATAGGTGCTGCACGCTAACAGCACTTGCCCCAACGGTCTGTAAAGGCTATATGGGGGGACCTTTGTCTTCCAGAGGTTCACGGTTATTTCTGTTCATTTATAATGGGGGGGGGAGGGGGGGTGGGGGGTGGGGGGACGATAACTCGCGTGAAGTTAAACTAATGCATCTTGGGTATAAAGTTACGTGGCGATTAGGGACACGCCCCTTTGAAAACCGGCCACATTGATCAGCGGGCTGCCAAAAGCTTGAAGACACGAAGCAGAGCTAAACGAAGTACTGTTTTGCAAGTCGAGCATACCCTGCTCCAACCCAGGAGGATGCTGGGTAAGAACTTGCAGGGAGCTGGTCGCTAGGCGACGGCGGATTTTGGCCCGACGACTTCCCGCCGGTTTCCGTGCCAGTAATAGAATACTTCCGGAGGCAAACGCGCGTTAGAGAGCGTTACGTGAGCCACGCTTGCGCGTGATTGCATCTTTCCTCATCGCTTTGAACCCTCACCCCCGGCGCGGTTATCTCTGCAGGAGGTGAACGGGGTCACGGCGAGTTTGGCGGAGGAGCTCTTCGCTTCAGGTATCGGCAGCGCTCGCTCACGGCCAACACCGGTGGCGATTATCTGAACTTGCTCCTGGGCCTCCCCTAGGTCAACTCAGCCTCAACCGAGTACCTGGTGCGGTGTGTAAAAACATCGTCACTGGGGAGACAAAGGCGGCCGGACGTGGTGCTGGCCTCGTGTGCCGTGCCGGCCTTCATCGGTACTTGCTAACAGCACTTGCCCCAACAGTCTCCTAAGGCTATACGGGAGATCTTTGTCTTTGTGTGAGCATCTAGTGCAATGGGGAGCAGTAGTGCAGCGGTTAGTGCTACGCTGCGCTATGAACCCAGCGACCCGAGTTCGATTCCCGCTCACGGCCAACACCAGTGACGATTATCTCAATCAGGTTTTGAGCCTCCTCTAGGTCGACTCAGACTTAAACGAGTACCCGGTGCGATGTGTAAACATTTCCACTGGGGCGACAGAGGCGGCCGGGCATGGTGCCGGCCACCCACCCCCCCCCCCGCGTGAGCCGTGCCGGCCTTCACAGGTGCTCCTCGCTAACAGCACTTGCCCCAACAGTCTGTTGAGGCTACACGGGGGGGATCTTTGTGTGGCAGGGGAGGAGGTGCTGGCGGGGGGAGAGGCGTTCAGTCTCACGCCGCTGCAGCTGCACGCCATCACGTGTCGTCTGCGCCTCTCCGAGCCCCACCTCGTCGCCACGGTACCCCCAGAGCCCGCCGGGGGTCCGCCATCCCTGCCGCTCGACGCTCGCCGCGACCTCGCGCACGTCCTGGACTTTGCGTGCCGACTCAAGTACCTCAAGGTGACTCGTCGGCTTGTCGCAGAGGTTCGCGGTTTGAATTCGGCAGGCCGCGCTGGTTAATGCTGTTTTAAAATTTTTTGTTTTTAAACAGATGAGGACCCGCCAAGCTATGTAGCTCTTTTTCAGCAGCGACGTTGCCACAAATGATAGCTCGACTTAAATGGCTTATCGCGTAGAAACGTATAGCAGCCAAATAGTCTGAGCGTGTGATGTTGATTCTAAATGCGGATCGGTAAAAAAACGGAGGATCCTTTGAGAAAAATACACACGGTCACTGGGAGAGAGACACGTAAGCTCCAAATATACAGGCGTCAGGGCTGGGATTGAACCCACGACCTTCTGTAAATCAGGCGAGCTAGTTAACATCTTAATGCATGTTGATTCTAAAGGGGAAAACCTGCGGTGTGTGTGTGTGTCAACCACGAATTGTGTACGCGCCCACCCACTTAACAGCGGTCGCTAAAGAACCAGTGACGTCATTCGAACGAGAGGATGCCATTGCGTGACAGCGTCACGGTCCACCTTTGACCACATTCAACAAACTGCACCGCAGATTTTACTTCGTTCAGAAACACGTGGCAATCATCGCGGCCTACTGGAAAACAATTATCATGGCCCTCCACATATCTCGTCTTCCAAGGGAGATCCTGGAGACAAACGCACGGCAGAAAGCGTTACAGAACGCATGCGAGTGCACGATTTTATTTTATTTATATATATATACACGTGAACCCTGCTGCCCACAGATATGCGGTCGCCCAGACGGTGTGGGTAGCAGCAACATTGAGGAATGCCAGCTGCCCTTTGACCTGTCGCTCTTCCGTTCGCTGCACCATGTGGAGGTGTGTGCACAGCGCCTAAGCACTCCACAGCCCCACCACTAGCATGCCACCACACCACCACGCTACCGCACCGCTCGCGTTACCAACACACCACACCAATACATCACCCCACGAACACACGGCTGCCTGCACCGACGCACCGCCACACTGTCAAACCACCACGTGACTACATTACCACACCACCAGAGCACGCTCTTCTGTTTTACTAGGCGTGGTAACGGTGTGTATGCTGGCGTGTTTGTGTCCGCGATGGTGGACACCTGTGTGTGTTGCGGTGTATATTTTGTGTGGTGGTGGTGGTGGTGGTGGTTTGTACACAGATCAACCATTGCGATGCCAAGCAGGTGCAGGGCCTCGCCAATCTCAAGTCTTCCTTGGCCACCCTGGCCATGCACCACTCCACCGACAATCTGCAGGTTCGCCTGGGGTGAGGGTGGCAAGGGCAACGGGACAGTGTGAGAAGCTTTGGCAGCGCCCCGAATGGGGGCGGCATTATGAATCGTGGGTGGCACCAAGGAATTGGGGCGGCTCTGGCAATGGGGGCAGCGCCAATGAATGTGGGTGGTACCAGGAATGTAATCCCGGTACAAAAAAAAAACACAAAATAACTTTACCGGTACCGAGGCTTCCACAAGGCCGTGCGGGTAGGGCCTGTGGCACAGTTTGGCTCCAGCTATCGTAGAGTTCGGGGCGGTCGTGTCGCTGCAGTTTCCTGCGGTGAGTGCAGCGTGTTTAAAAACAACGGCGCTACTGCACCTCTCTAAATAAATTGAACGCCGATGAGCCGCTCGCGCGTTCCGAGATTCAGCGGCGAACGCGACGCCCTCCACCCCGCAACTTGCAGTACTTCTCGGAACGGGAAAGGGTGAACGTATGGAGGACCGCAGAGCCCGGCCCATCTCGTGGCTGCCTTCCCCGCTAGCCTGTGGTCCCTCGGGCCTCCGAGCCGCACCCTCCCTGCGAGGGCGAGTGACAATAGGAGAGAGCTAGCTGAAGCCTCCCATGAACCGCGTGACTTGCGTCTCCCCGGCCCCCCTGAAAACAGATGCCGCCGCTCCTCCTCTGTTGCAGCTCATTTTTTTCTTCCCCCTTCCCGCTCTCTTCTCTCTCTCTTCTCTCTCTCTTCCTCCCGCCTCCCCTCCATCAGCGAACGCTGCGCTAGTTATAAATTGAAAATCACCGCGAAAATGAAGCAACACCCGTGTCAGAAGAGCGCGAGTTGTGATGCGTTGTGGCCCTCACCGCCCCCCCCCATCCACCCCACCGCAATGCACTGCTACCCTTTAGGATGTGTTGGAGCCGGAGGGACTCGGGGCTGGCGAGTGGGCGGTGGAGGGAGAGTGCCCCGCAGAGGGGGAGCGGTTGCTGGGCGTGCAGCTCCCCCCTTGGGGCTCCCTAACCACGCTGGACCTGTCCCACAACCGGATCTCCCACATCGACGACGCGGTGGTGAGCGGCGACCGCGGCTAGACGGCGCACGCCCACTCGCCCTGTGACGTGTGCTCGCCGGGCTTCTTCCGCACCGTACGTAGCCGACCGTGCCTGTCGTGCTCGCCGCCAAGCCGAGTCCCCTCCTTGTTAGCACTGCTGCTCACGGTCGCCACAAATACTGCTTACGTGCACGTTACAGACGAGTTTCAAGTTGCGCTTTTGCAGAGGAAAGGTATTTAGATATCGGGGATATGAGCGGCAGGGTGGCGCAGTGGTAACGCTTGTGCCTCACGGCGAGAAGGGCTTTCCTTCGATTGCAGACTTTCTGTGTGGAGTTGGTATAGCCTCTCCCCTGTTCTGCAGGGGTTTCCTCCCATGGTTAGAGAAAAAAAACGCACAGTGGAACTGGCATCGGCCGAACATCCCAATGCTGAAAAACGACTTGCAGATTACTCATTTGGGGTCACACACAGCAGCAGCCGCAACATCGCTCCCGACTGCGAACACCTGGAAGGACCCTCCTGAAAAAGAGGGTTGAGACTCAGTTGAGGCCTTGCTGTGTGAACAAGCAGAACAACAATAACGACGACAACAACAACAGAGAGGACTGCGTGGGAGGAATGTGTCAATCACCCAGCACAGGAATACGTGGAGAGAGAGGGGGGGGGGGGGAACCAGGAAGGCAGGCCCCACATCAACGGGAAGAATGCCAAGAGCGAGGAGATGATTTCGTTGTTAGGAGATTTAGTCACCGTGGCTCAAGGGGAGTGGAGTCAGTTGTGCAAAAAGGCAGCAGACAGGGGGTGTGTACATGGAACTTGGTTTGTACCATACGTAGGCAGTCGTGTTAATCGGAGGTGCGATGAACGGAGAAGGGATGCTGGGATGGAAGTCCCCCAGGGCGGGGCAGAGAGGAGGGCACGGCTGAAGATGAGCAGCAGTGAGGAAGAAGGCGCTCTGGGCAGGAAGGGGAGGGAGGGGGGAGGAGGGGGGTAGGGGGAGAGGAGTAGGGGGGGAGGAGGAGGGAGGAGGAAGGGGGGGGAGGAAGAGGAGGAGGGGGGAGGAGGAATGACCGTGCTAAGCTGTCGGGGAGGGGAGGGTGTTAATGATGGAGGGGGGGGAAGAGAGTGAGAACAGAGCAGGAAGGATGGAGCAGAAGTGAGCTGAAACGGAGGAGGAGGAGGAGGAGCGGCATCCGGGGAGAAGGGGAGGGACTCAGAGTGGGGGTGGCCACACAGAAGTCACGTGGTTTATAGGAGGCTTCAGCTAACTCTCTCCTGATGTCGCTTTGCATTGTAGATCTTTAGGTGTCCACTGAGGTTCACAGTGGTGGGCTTTGTGACCACAAATGGGCTACTTTCTGTTGCAGAAATTGATCCCCAAAGTGGAATTTCTTGACCTGAGTCACAACGCCATCACGGAGATTGCGAATCTGCAGGTTTGACGCACACCGTCACACGCAGCGCCCTCCCCCCCCACCCGTCTCGCCTAGGTCGACTCAGCCTTAAAACGAGTACCCAATGCTGTGCGCAAACATCGGCACCGGGGAGACAAAGGCGGCCGGGCGTGGTGCTGGCCACCCCCTCGGTGCGCCATTCCGCCCTTCACGGGCACTCGCTAAGAGCACTTGCCCCAACACTCTGTTACAGGCTACATGGGGGACATGATCCCTTGCAAATGGTTTCTATTGGTGTTCAAACATCTGAACACCTCCTGTTGTATTGCCAGACAGGGTCAAACCTATTCTTATTTCTTCATACTTTGTCATACTTTGATAATGGCAAAAAAATGTCACATTTTGGGATCTTGGTCTTTCGTTAAACTCGAGATGTGTAACACGCAGGGTTTGTATACACCCCTGGGGACGAGAGAGAATGACTCGGAGAGAATGATTGATTCAGAGAGAATGATTGATTCAGAGAGAATGATTGATTCAGAGAGAGAGAACGATTCAGAGAGAGAGAACGATTCAGAGAGAGAGAACGATTCAGAGAGAGAGAACGATTCGGAGAGAAGGATTCAGGGAGAGAGAATTATTCAGGGAGAGAGAATTATTCAAAGAGAGAGAATTATTCAGAGAGAGAGTGATTCTGGGAGAGAGAGTGATTCTGGAAGAGAGAGTGGTGCAGAGACAAATAATGATTCAGAGAGAGAGAGAGAGAGAAATACACCACAGACGAGCAGATAAGGCATCAAGACCCGACATGGACAATCGCTCTCCGTGTGGTCCGACGTTGTTGACGCCTCCCCCCCCACCAACCCCGCCCCCCCCCCGCCGTGCGCCCGCTGGCTCGGCTTTCGCAGCACCTGTACAGCCTGGTGCACCTGGACATGTCCCACAACCGTGTGGGCGAGTGCGTGCGCCTGCACGGCACGCTGGGCAACGTGCGCACGCTCAGCCTCGCCGGCAACGCCCTGCGCAACCTCGCGGGCCTCGCCAAGCTCTACTCCCTCGCCGCGCTCGACCTGTCCGACAACGGCGTCGAGCAGGTGACCGACCCCCGGCATAGGAATGTGGAATTCGTTTTTTTCACCCAAGGGAGGTTTGATGGGCCCGCCAGGGATTTTTTTTTTTGTGCTCAACCCGGAGCAGGCGGAGTAGAGTAGTTGGGAAGAGAGCCGCTTGGGGTGGCGACGAAGCAAAATCCCCGTACAGATGGAATGCGGGTGGAAATCGACCCACCCACTTGCTGCGCTGCCAGCACGCTTGCAAAGCCGCGAGACGGCGGCTGAGGCACCCACGCCACGGGGAAGGGAGGGAGTTTCACCAAACCCTCGCTACCTCCGCATCGCACACACGTGTCCTGTAAACCGGCACTGTGGAGGAGTCCGATGGTTGGTGGATCACGCACAGACTCGTGAAACTCCCTCCCTACCCGTGGGCGTCTAGGTCGCCACCTCCCAGCTTGCCGGGATGTGGCAGTGCAGCGAGTAGGTTAATTTCTGTCTGTATTGCTGCTGTACGGGGATTGAGTGTTACCCTCCCCGAGCACCTGTGGGTTTTCTCCGGGAACTCCGCTGTCCTCCCAGATGTGTAAGCACTCGTCACAAATAGAGTTGGCCAAACATCCCGACGAAGGGCCACAGAGCTTGGGCGACGACGACGATGACGATGATGATGCAGGGTCGCGCCGCCCCGCGAGATTTCCAAGTGGACATTTCGTCTCGTGGCCTGACCCTTGACCCCCACAATCTTGATAAAATTGTGGGAAAATTACCGATTTTTTTAGCAGCAGCAATAATAGTAAATAGATGTTTTTTTACTATCATTAAATGTAACAGGGCCAGGCAGGCTGGGCAGGTAGGCAGGTGTAAGAGCGGGCAGGTGAAAAGGCGCGCGAGCGGGCGGGCGGGCGGACGGGCGGGCGGGCAAGTGGGCATGGTGCGGGCGGGTGTGGGCGGGTGGCCGAGGGCGTCCGAGTTCGCGGGGCAAAACGATGGAGGATGCGATGTGGAACTCTGTCTCACGGCAGCGGTGACGGCGCGTTGCAGATGGAGGAGGTGCGGCACGTCGCCCGGCTGCCCTGCCTGGAGCGGCTGTCGCTCAGCGGCAACCCGGTGTGCATCACGACGGACTACCGCACGCGAACCCTCGCGCTCGCCGGCGACCGCGCGGCTGAGGTCAGGGGCTCATTGCCGTTGCCCGAGGCTGGGAAGCCTCTGGAGGCGCTGCGCACTTTTAAATCTTGAATTTGAAAAAAAATATATATATAGTTTTCTTTAGAACTGATTTTTGTGTTTCGTTTGCCGTCCTATTGCCCCCCACCTCCAATTAGCGCGGTTGACTTCGTACGTACGCACGTACGTACATCGCTCGTGCCATCGTGACGTCAGTGTTATTGTGACCACCACTGTCACCGCCACCACCGCCGCTGTCATCATCGTTACCACCACCTCCAACAATTGTAACCACTACTACCATTGCTCCCAACGCCATTACTGCTGCACCTCCGATGAGCACGGTTTGGCTACGAACGGTGCGAAAGAAGTTCAACATACATACCACCACCACCACCACGACCACGATCATACTCGCCACTGCTACCACCGCCACTGGTGCCACCGCCATCGCTCCCACCAACACCACCGACGCCACCGCTGCCTGTCCCACGCTAGGTGTGTCTGGATGGGGTGGCGCCGTCGCGCAAGGAGCTGGACACGGTGGAGGTCCTCAAGGCGCTGCAGAAGTCTCGCGACGCTGGCCGCCGCGGGCCCACCCCCTCGGCGGCCGTGCCGGCCCACGCCGCTCCGCGCCCCCACGCCCCCGGGGTCCCCCGCTCGGCCACCTCCGGTGCGGACTCCCCTATCGCGGACCCCTCCGACAGGGGCAGTTGTGAGAGGGGCTCCCCCAACAGGGACCCCCCCAAGAGGCAGCCTCCCGACACGCACGGCAGCAGGGCGAGCAACGCGAACAACTCCAGCGTGGGAGCGCGCTCGGGCAAGTCGGTCGACCCCGGGACGGGCGACCCGTTGGCGGACGATCGCAAGGCCGCGGTCGGCACGGGCGACCTCGCCAACCCTGCCTCGTGTCCACCCCGAGCCTCCTTCCCCGCCCGCGGCGCTGCCCAAGACCGCCGCGATGCCGCCGCCGATGCCGCGGACGCTGCCTCCCGGTCGCGGCGCTCCGCTGCCCCTGACGGGCCTGCCGCTGCCCCTGACGGGCCTGCCGCTGCCCTTGCCGCTGCCGACTCTGCCCCGAGCGGCGTCGCTCACGCCGCCGCCTCCGCCGCCTCACCACCCGCCACTGCTGCCCCCTGCCCTGCCCCGGGCAACGCCGACGGCGCCGTGACGTCGGTCGGCTCAGCCGGGAGCTGCCCGGGTGGGTGGGAGCGCGTTCGCTAACCGGTTGCGGTTGTGATCGTGGTGGCGGTGATACTGATTGCGATAGTGGCGATGGCAGCAATAGTAGTCGCAGCGGCGGTTGGTAAATAGTGGTGATGGTGGTGGTGTTATTTGTGGTGTTGGTGGTGACGCTGGCAGTTGTGGATGCGATCACGGTAATGGTGCGTGGCTGTGGTGACGTTGGCGACGGTCATATTGCTTGTTGTTGGTGGTGATACTGATGACGGTGGTGATATATTTCTTTCATTTAACCAAAGACCCAAAATGCCAAGCGGCCGACAGCAGCCGCCGCTGTTTGCGTTGTCACGGATATTTGAGCTTAAACGCAGTCGCGGCGGTGTTGGTTGTGCTGCTGCTGCTGCCGGTAACCTTTACGCCAGAACCAGGCCCTCGCGGCCAGAATGTTGACCGCGCGTTGTCCCCGCTGATACCGGGCGTCCTGTTTACCCTCCGCTCACACTTCCTCCTCTTGTTTGCCACTTTCCGGAAGGCCCCCCCTCCCCCCCCCCCCCCCCCATCAGGACTCGTCAGGAGCTGTCATCGGAAACTCGTTCCTCGGCTAATTTTCTGATTTGTAATCACGTGAAAGCGGCAACAATAGCTGCAGGAGGTGACGGCCCCGCGCGGCTTCTGGCCACAGGAGTTCACAATGGCCGTGTCGGAGATGCTGAGTGGGCACTGCCGAGATCCAGGGATTGGATGGAAGGGCTTTTGGCCGCCCCAAACAAGGGCAGATTAAACCGGCTTGCCCAGCTTAGTAGGTTCTTGGTCCCACCTTGCGTAAGCCCCGCTTATTTTTGTTTATTTAATAATTTTATCGTTGAGCTTTTGTTGTTGTTCCGTCATTAGTGAGCGGGGCCGAGACCATCACCGTAGCTCATTTGGTCGGTACCGCCTGGGGTGACAAACGATACCAGCATTGACCGTGAGCGGTGATCCACCACGGCCAGTGATCCACCACAGGCAGTGTCCACCACGCCTGATGATGCTGGTTGTAATTACTGGCGAAACGTCATACTCAGATTGTAAATGTTGTGGCTTGGCTCTCCCACACAGCGGTGTGCTGTACTAGTATATTACACTATACACTACTATACCATTACACTACTATACACCACTACTATACACTACACTATACACTACACTATACACTACTATACCACTACACTATATACTAGTGCTGTGCTAGTGATGATTTGGCACGTTCTGTTTACGTGGGAACCCTTACTAGTTGGCTGTGTCGGTAGGAGAAGGAAATCACTTAGACTTTGTTTTGACGACTCTACACTGCAGGTCACAATAACACACTCGCCCGCTCACTCAACCGAACAACTCCCTCACTCCCTTACTAACCCGCTCACTCACCCAACCACTCGCCCACTCACCACACCGCAAGCCACCTCACTTCTCTCTCTGCTTCTCCCCTCGCTCTGCCCCGCTCTGGAATTCTCTCCTCCCATCACCACCGTCATCGCCATCGTCTCTTCAAGCTCTTACGACAACGATAACCTCGCTCAATCCAAGACACGTGTTGTCTGTTGAAACTTCAACTGCGCTGTTTGTTCCTGGCCGCTTGGCAGCTTGGGCCTTTACGGGGGCACTGCGCCCACCAGCTCTGTGTCTGTTCGAAATGTTTAGCATACTTCCCAACATGCAACAAACTTGAAATTTGGCATGTGGGTAGCTTCCAGATTGTGCACAATGCAAAAAGTATAAAAATTTACTTTTGTATTTTGGGGGTGGCGCAATAATGGATATATTTTGCACGGCAAGTGAGCAGTGACGTCACATCTGTGATGTCACCCGCATGCGGCAGCGTCACGCAGTGTGCCTGCTGACGTCACGCATCCCCCCCCCCCAACCTTCCGCGTAGGCCGTGTATTAATCCACGACACAAGAATCCAAGTCTCGGGCGAAGCCGGGTAGCGAAGCTAGTTGCTTTATAAGACCAAGTTGTCTTTACGGTGCTGGTTGTCACGTGATGCAAAAGAGGAATTCACGTTAAAAATGTATATCAATTTTTTTGTCCAGATCTGGTAAGCACGCCGCCCGACGACTTCCCTGGCTGCCCTTCCTCTTGCTGCCCTGCCCAGCCCAGCCCTGCCCAGTCCTGCCCTTTGTACCTGCTGCCCCTGCCCGAGCCTCTTGCCGAGATGGTGGCCCTCACGGGTCCCCAGCTGGACGTCTACTTCCGCACACACCTGGCGCAGGTGAGAGGCACTGCGCTTCCCCCGCCCCTCTGCCCCCTTGCCCATCCCCCTGCCACCCCAAACTCTCTCCGCACACCGTTGAGCCTCGTGTAATTCCGGGTCCACATCCGAGCGAGCGATCGGTCACGCAGCTTTTTGGTTGCACGTACGCAAGCATGAATTGCTTACACGTGAACGTGTCGGCAACCGGTTGCGAGCATCTGCGCAACCGGTTGCGAGCATCTGCGCAATCGGTCGCGAGCATCCGCGCAACCGGTCGCGTCGTCACCACTCATGGCGCATCTGCTCGACCACGATTGGTCGCGACGGTCATGAACAATGCGCCGTCTGATATCCTGTGAGTGCGTTCGTGATTCTTGTTGCATTTTGTTCATTGATGAAGCCATCGTTTGCAAGCGCTGACAGCACCACGGGAGTCGGTCACTGCGATTGCCAGCAATGGAAAACTGCACACAAACACACTCACACACACACACCGGTTCTAAGCGCGACCGCTCGCTCGGATGTGGACCTGACTCACTCGCACAAAAGGGCCCTGATGTAACCATCGATTAATTAAATGATCAATCCATGGTTATAATGCAGGCGGTGTTAAGACCAAATTTGTACAAGGCATCGAGTCTGCATTAACCGCACATGCTTGTGATAAAAAAAAAAAAATGCAAACTAACATGCTTCGGCAACGTACGCATTGTCCGTGAAACGGATTGGCCTACGCCAAAGAATTAGCCTCGCCAGTGCTGTAGACGAAAGGCCGCCAAAAGGCGAACGGCACAAGGACAGCGCAATCACCGAAGCACGAATAGCTCGGGTTAACCGCCGCTCGGCAAAACCTCTCACCCGGTGATCAGAGCGCCGAGGAGGAGCTGAGACACGCGCTGTGGACCCCCGTGGTGTTCTACGCGGAGCCCGATCGCGAGCTCCCGGCCTGCGTCCTCCTCTCCTCCTCCGCCATCTACGTCGTCACGCCGGTCACGGCACCCGCCGCGCCGCCGCCGCCGGCGCCGTCGTGCCGGCGGCAGCGGCAGGAGGAGGAGGAGGAGGGGGGTCGCGGCGGCGGCGGCGGCGGCCGTGCGGGGTCGTGGCGGTGGGCGGGACACACCGCCTGGTTGTGCGGGAGGTCGGCGGAAGAGGCGGAGGAGGTGGAGGAGGACGAGGAGGAACGCAGGGGGCGGTGCGTGGCGATCGGCCTCCAGGACCTCATGGCGGTGCACATGGGGCTCTTTGATCAGCACTTCCGACTGTCCGGTAAGGGTTCGGTAAAGTGGATCGTGATGTGATGGTGGTCGAGTGGTGGTGGTGGTGGTGGTGGGGTCTGGTGAGGCGTGGTGTGGTCGGGTGCGGTGGGATGCTGCGGTGGGTTGTGGCGTGACGGGGTTGGGGGTTGAATGGTGCGGTGGATCACATTAGGTTCGTGCACTGACGTGTTTGTATGGACCTTTGTGTGTGTTTGTGTGTGACGTGTGTGTTGTGTTTGCACATGTGAATGTGTGTGTGGTGAGTGAAACGTGAACCCCTCTGAAGGAACATCTCCGCTTGTTTGAAACATTCAGGCTAGCTTGCCTACGATCCACCCTGGGTTTGCATGTTTGTTGAACTTCTTTCGCACTTCATGTAGCAGGGTTTAACCAGACCGGATTGTGTGAGGAGGTCACAGATCCTTGAAAGATCTGGACACTGTCCCATCGGTGAACTCTGGCAGGCGAGGCTGCGTTGGCTGGGTCATGTAGCCCACTAGCCCAGCCAACGCATGCCCAAGCAGCTTTTTTATGGCTGGGTAGAGGGAGCTAAATGGGCGCGGGCACAAGCTAGAGATGGGATGGATTGATGTGGAGAGTGGACTTGCCGATGACTGGTACCAGCGGTGTCAAGATCAACCTCTGTGGAGGAGGCTCGTGAAGGACGCTACTGGGCAGTTGGTGGCGGTCGCCCTCCAACATCTCCAGAGGGCAGAGGAGCGACGCTCACAACAACGAGCGGCTAAAACTCAACGAGTTTGCACAGTGGGGATCACAGGTGGTGCCCCGACCGGTCATCTCAGTCAGTCAAACCATGGCACCTGGGTCTGTCCCATGACCTCCTGCCAGTGAGCCTTCGACACTTCACATAGCCTTGATGTGCACCTAGCTTGGCACAAGCTCTGTGGTGATATCACCACCACTTAGTGACAAACAGCAGCTGCTATTGCTGTGAGAGGAGCGGTAGGTAGCGCTGTGGTCAGCGCGCTGCGGTACATCACCAGTGAATATCTGAAACCGGTACTGGGCCTCCCCTGGGTCAACTCAACCTTAAACAAATACCTGGTGTGGTGTATAACGGGCGTGGCGGTGCGAGCCACACTACCCATCGCCTATCGTCGAGCAAAGACGGTCACTGCATCGCACGATTTCAAATATACTTCTGCGGCTGTCTGGAACGTTCTTTCTTCCGATATCAGGAAACCCCTGGGAGCTATGCACTCTTAAATTATCATCTAAATTAAAAACTAATTTCTTGAGAACTGCTTTTTGTGTTTAGTTTGTCGTTCTTCCCGCCCGCACCTCCAATTAGCACGGTTGGCTACGTACATTGAGGGAAAAAAGTATTTGATCCCCTGCTGATTTTGTATGTTTGCCCACTGACAAAGAAATGATCAGTCTATAATTGTAATGGTAGTTTATTTAAACAGTGAGAGACAGAATAACAACAAAAAAATCCAGAAAAACGCTTGTCAAAATTGTTATAAATTGATTTGCATTTTAATGAGGGAAATAAGTATTTGACCCCTCTGCAAAACATGACTTAGTACTTGGTGGCAAAACCCTTGTTGGCAATCACAGAGATCAGGCGTTTCTTGTAGTTGGCCACCAAGTTTGCACACATCTCAGGAGGGATTTTGTCCCACTCCTCTTTGCAGATTATCTCCAAATCATTAAGGTTTCGAGGCTTATGTTTGGCAACTCGAACATTCAGCTCCCTCCACAGATTTTCTATGGGATTAAGGTCTGGAGACTGGCTATGCCACTCCAGGACCTTAATTTATTGTTATTCTGTCTCTCACTGTTCAAATAAACCTACCATTAAAATTATAGACTGATCATTTCTTTATCAGTGGGCAAACGTACAAAATCAGCAGGGAATCAAATACTTTTTTCCCTCACTGTATATACATACATCGCTCGTGCCAAATATCATTGTCACTATCATTGTCAGCGTCATCGTCACCACCACTATCACCGCCACGATTATAATTGTTACCACCGCTTCCACCAATCATCATCGCCACGACTACCAATTACTACCATACATGCATATGTAGCCGCTCGTACGTCCTTCATCAACATGCGCTCGCTCACAGCACTTGCCCCCGAAGGTCTCAGAAGGAGCCTGCTCTACAGCACGACGGGGATGTCTACGCGTGCGTGCGTGCGTGCGCAGGGTGCGAGGCGGAGAGCGTGGTGGCGTGCGTGACGCGGGACAGCGTGCGCACGCACCACTTTGTGACGGAGCTCACGTGCGCACTCTCGCTGCTCGCCTCTCCGGCCCTCCCCGACTCCCTCGAGAACGACTTCTACCAGCCCTACCTGAGCGCCGCTAACGGTACGTTACGACCCCCCCCCCCAACCCACCTGACCCCGTCCCCCCTCCACGCGACCCCGCCCGCCCCCCCCCCCCCCCCCCACCATAGCCACTTCTTAACGTAGCCACTTCATTGCCGTTGATGTTAAGCGTCTTGGGATTGTATGATGAAAGACATATATATATCAACTTTCATTATTATCTTTCGATTTAAAGCTTTCGTGACTGCAAGGGTTCATCTTCTTTGGTTCTTTCGGTAAAGTCACGTAGAATGAGAATAAAATAATAAATTGATAAAATAAAATAACACAATAATATTCTCACGACGTTTCGGCCACAACACAAGCGGCCTTCATCAGGTGAAGGGACGAGACTGTCTGGTAGGACAGCGCTGGAGTGAAAGAGCCACGTTCAGATCACGACCTTTAAGGTGTGTGAGAGGAAACAAAGCCATTTCAATGCTAAATTATATGCTAATTCCTTTGTCAAGGCGCTTTGTTTCCTCTCACACAGCTTAAAGGTCGTGATCTAAACGTGGCTCTTTCACTCCAGCGCTGTCCTACCAGACAGCCTCGTCCCTTCACCTGATGAAGGCCGCTTGTGTTGTGGCCGAAACGTCGTGAGAATTTTTATTGTGTTATTTTATTTTATCAATTTATTATTTTATTCTCATTCTACGTGACTTTACCGAAAGAACCAAAGAAGAGGTTTCATTATTATCGTTGTTATCGTTTCTTTGAATTGCCGTCATCAGTGCACACGCGAGCGTGGGGTCGCTGGCGTGTGCACCGCTTGTTTGCAGAGCTTTGCGGCGTGCATCCGTCAAGCCGCCCTGGTTATTCCTGCGAGTGCATCTTATCTTTTCTCATTTTATGTTGATAGAGCGCCTTGGCTCAAGGCGCTTGTACGTATTTTAAAAGCGGTAACGGCAATCGAGTGATTTAGGTGGCAGGCGCACAATGCCTAGGAATGAGTGACCGTGACAGAGGTCACGTGGGAGTCACGTGGGGGTCACAGAAGGGCTACAGGGGAGGGATGGGACGGACTGGAGGGGGCGAGGGGAAGGGGAATGGGCGATGGGGAAGAGGTGGTGAGGCTTTAAGAGAGGAACGGGAAGGAGGTCAAGGAGGGGGACTGCTTCATGTGCAGGGGAAGTTTATCCAGTAGTGCATGGCATAATAATTTATTATTATTATTAGTGCTAGGCGCCATCCACTGGTCCTCGGTGGGCGTCTGAGATGCTCGCGACCTCGTCTGAAATGAGAAGGCCATTGTGTGCTGGTGGTCACGGTCCAAGTTTGTCGTGAATGTTTATAAAGTTACACCGCAAATTGCTCAACAGGGATCTTGTGCCTTACCTGCGGGCTATATTAACACAGAGGGGAGCGTTGGCGCAGTGGTTGGCGAGCTGCTGCGCTTTCAAACTGGCCGCCTCGGTTGGACTCGAATTATTTGCGCGACGCTGCTGCTTTGGCAGCGTTGGCAGTGTTGCATGAGCACGGTTGACGCGACAGCCCAAGGTTTGTCACGTAAACGGAACGTGGCCAATTTGTTACGAGTACAGCACACCGGTGTGTTGGAGAGCCACGCCACAACGTTGACAATCTGAACATTTACAATATGAACGTATCTTTTCTGTTGAGGCCACGGCATTATTGACGATAGTGTAATAGGTTTTTACCCTTTTAGCTGGCACAAAAAAACTGACACCTTTATACGAGGGATCATGTTTGCAACGACCACAACACAAGCAGTCAAAAAAGTGCAAACAAAAAGAGACAACTCTGATAATGATATTGGCACTGTCCTTGAAGTTGATTGGTCCACACCCGAGACAGCTATGTCTTAGAGCCTCGTCTCCACTGGTGTTGGACCAGATGACGCCAAGGACAGTGCATATCATTATCAGAGTTGTCTCTTTTTGTTTGCATTTTTTTGACTGCTTGTGTTGTGGTTATTGCAAACATGATGCCTTGTATAAAGGTGTCAGTTTTTGTGCCAGCTAAAAGGGTAAAAACCTATTACTATATCTTGCTACTGGCAAAGGAGGTCTCATAATGTATTGACGATTAGTGTTCACTTTCTAAGTTTATTTGTTCCAGCAGGCTCGATTCCCGGCCACCAGGGCCTACATCGGCGGCGAGCGCATATCTCGGCCTTGCAGTTCATCGAATCAATCATCGGACGCGTCTAATGGCCACGCTCGCCGCGCGGGCAAAACACAAACGCCATAACCGTTCACTTAACACACCGACGCAACCGGCCAATACCGCCCCCACCCCTCGTCTCACCACCCCCCCCCCCCCCCCCCCCCCCCCCCGCCCCCTCCCCTCCCACCTTCGCAAGTTGTAGACGTCTGCGTCAGCAGCCCCGTTGAAATGCGTGCTGACTGCGCCCGGTCTGTCACTGCCGACAGGAAGCCCGGCAGGACACAGTCATTGTCCCACTTGCCCACGGCCGAGGAAGGGGAGGGTGGCGGCCGTGGTAGCGGGGGTGCTGGGGTTCGTCAGGGTGGTGTTAGTGACGGTGGTGTACGGTGATCGTGGTGGTGGCAATAGTGGTGGCGGTGGCGGCGATGGTAGTGGTGGAGGTGATAGTGTTGACGGTGATAGTGGTGGCGGTAGTGGGTGGCGGTGATGGTTGTGGTGGAGGTGATAGTGTTGACGGCGATAGTGTTGGCGGCGATAGTGGTGACGGTGATAGTGGTGGCGGTGATAGTGGTGGTAGAGGTGATGGTGGTGGTGGTGGTGTGCGGTTAGCGGGTTTAAGCCTGGTAGCCGACCAGTGAAGCCGGTAGGGTTGGCCAGTTTGTGTTGCCGGGGGAGGAGTGGGTGGGATGGTGGTGGTGCGGTTTGTGGGGGGTGGGGGGTGTGATGGTGGTGGCTGGGAATGGTCAATCCTTGTTGGTTGTTGTTGTTGTTGTTTTTGCTGCTGCTGGTGCTGCGTTCATTGTGCCTGCAACACTTTTTAACAAAAAAAAACCGTGAGATCCCCCACGGGGGGGGGGGGGGTGGGGGGGGGGGTGTGGGAGGTCATGTGACAGGATGCGTGCGCTCGATGAGATAATAATGATAGCGACGAGCGTGCGCGTGCGTCTGTGCTAGCGTGTACCTGCGTGTTCTCGCGCGGTGCACCCCGGCGCAGTTCAGCCGCCCAGGGGTTGTTTTTCCACTGCAGAAGTCAATCCGTGCCGCTGACTTCGCCCGCAAAAAGCAATCCCCCCCGACGCGTGTAGATTTACACGGCGAAGCCTCGCTTTGGTCGTGGCTCTCGCGTCACGCGCGCAACGAACGCGCACCGTCAGCCCTGGCCCCCTGACCCTGCTTAGTCAGACTCGGACGTCTTCTTGCGAGGCCGCCGTATCACGGTTTTTCGCTTCCGGTTCGGCACGGCAAATCGGCGGCGGACGACGACCCTGTGTGGAGGTGGATATCTGAGCTGGCCTTGGAACTCCCCGTTAGATAACCCCGCCCCTGACCAGTGTGGTGAAGGCGTCGGTCTGTGGGTTTCTACGTAGGCCCGTTGGTCTCTGGCAACGCGGTGGCTAGGAGATGTTAACTACCTCGCGCGGTATGCAGGAGGTTGTGGGTTCGATCCCGACCCTGACGCCTGCTGCTGCTGTATATTTGTGCGTGTTCTCGCCGTGGTCGTGTGCATTTTTCTCCAAGTCCTCCGGTTTTCCCCTCCACGCTTGGAATCGACATCACGCGTTTAGAGTATTTGGCTGCTATACATTTCCACGCGATAAGCCACTTTGTTTGGCTATCATTTTGTGATATCCAGGTCGCTTCTGAAAAAGAACTACATAGGTCAGTGGGCCTTACCTGGTGAAATAAAAAATAATAGATGTAATTTTTTGTATTGGTCTATGTAAACCACTGTGGCTGGGCTGAGACCATGAATCCACTACAATTGAGAACCTGGTATGTGTACAGTAAAACATTGAATTGCGAGCATAATTCATTCCGCAAATGTGTTTGTAATCCAAAGCACTCGTATATCAAAGCGAATTTTTCCCATAAGTAATAATGGAAACTCAGATGATTCGTTCCACAACCCAAAAATATTCATGTAATAAGGATTAATGCAAAATACCTTTTTTTATAGTTTTATTATTTAAATTTAATATAAAGTGATCAAATTTTTTAATTAAATAGAATCGTGGCTGGTGTGAGGGAGACGAGAGAGAGGAGAGGAGGAGGAGGGTTATTGTGTAGGACGACTTTCACTGTCACTAACGGAATCACTGCCATCTGTTGGCTCACTGGAATCTTTTTGTGCGACTTTAACAAGGAACCTATCCAATGATACTTGCTTTCGCCTCCTTTTGAGGATTTCGCGGAAATGTGACATTTCCGCAAAATCAGTACAGTTACTAAAGAACAGTCACTACACTTGGACACAAAATTAAAAAAATGCTTTTTGCACACACACACACGTGTTCACAACACTATAGTACTGTAGTAAACAGTATACACGTGGTCACAACACTATAGTACTGTAGTAAACAGTATACACGTGGTCACAACACTATAGTACTGTAGTAAACAGTATACACGTGGTAATAACACTATAGTACTATAGTAAACAGTATACACGTGGTCACAACACTATAGTACTGTAGTTAACAGTATACACGTGGTCACAACACTATAGTACTGTAGTAAACAGTATACACGTGGTCACAACACTATAGTACTGTAGTAAACAGTATACACGTGGTAATAACACTATAGTACTATAGTAAACAGTATACACGTGGTCACAACACTATAGTACTGTAGTAAACAGTATACACGTGGTCACAACACTATAGTACTATAGTAAACAGTATACACGTGGTCACAACAGTATAGTACTGTAGTAAATAGTATACACGTGGTCACAACACTATAGTACTATAGTAAACAGTATACACGTGGTCACAACACTATAGTACTGTAGTAAATAGTATACACGTGGTCACAACACTATAGTACTATAGTAAACAGTACACACGGTTACAACACTATAGTACTGTAGCAAACAGTATACACGTGGTCACAACACTATAGTACTATAGTAAACAGTATACGCTCGCACGGATGTTGACTATACGAGTGAGGCACGCCGACTGAGGCCGGGCATGGGAGACGATTACCCACAATCCCGCAGCGAGAGAGAGAGAAGAACCATCGGCTCAGTTGTGATCACGTGACGCTCGGCAGACAAAGCGTATACGTCCTGCTCGTATTGCAACACCTCGCTCGTCACCGCACACGTACCTCATCGTAGACGCACGTCATCGGAATGGAATGGGGTAACGGCTGCTGTTCAACGTTCTTCCCGCCCACGTCTCTCTGTTCCCGCATGCCCTAGGTCTGCGGCTCTCCGCGCTAAGTCTGCGTCTGCTCGCGTCCGTGCTACGGTGGAATACAAATGACGGTCGTCGTCACCGTCGTTGTCGTCGTCGTTGTTGTCGCTTCTCTCGTGGATTTTCCCCGTCACGCCTCGCCCCGCAGCAGGTCCCGGGCGGAGCGCCGGTCCAGCGAGCCGCACCTCCTTCGTGTACCCCGACGAAGAGGTGATCGGGGAGCTCCTCTTCACGGTGAGCCAGGCCGACTCCCCCGGCACCTCCTCCTCCTCGTCCTCCACCTCCTCGCCCTCCTCGCCCCGCTCGCCCCCTTCGCCCTCGTCGTCGTCGCCGCGGCTGCCGCCGAGCCTCCTCTTCTACCTGCTCGTGTTCCAAGACGTCGGCGCGCACGGGGAGGGCGGAGCGGCGGCGGGGTCGGCGGCGGCGGCGCCGGCGGCGGCGCCGAGGTCGCTGGTGCTGACGCCGGCGCTGCTCTGCCTGTGCAGCGAGGACACCGTGTGTCACCCGCTGCCGCCGTTCGCCAAGGCGCCCGCGCGGCGCCCGCACTTTGGCGCGGTGGCGGTGCGGAGGGTGGCGGCGCTGGCGCGGCTCGAGGGGCGGGAGGGCTGCGCGCACACGCTGGCGCTCGTGTTCGCCGGGGGGCCGCGGCGGTCGGCGCCAGCGCCGCGGCGGCCGCGGCAGGATCAGCGGCAGCAGCAGCAGCAAAAGAGTCGGCAAAATAAAAGCCAGAGTCGGCCGCAGCAACAGCAGCAGAAGCCTGCCAAACAACAAAGTGGCGGGCAGGAGAGCAAAACTGCCGGTAGCGTACGAAGAGAAGAAAGCCGTGACAATGACGACGACGACGATGACGACGGGGGTGGTGGTTGCGGCGGCGATGGCGGCGATGGCGGTGGTGCGAAGGAGGAGGAGGAGGAGGAGGAGCGTTGGCTGCTGCGTGCGCCCAGCACGGCCGGCAGGGAGCGTCTCGTGTCGCTGCTAGCGCATCACTGGCGCAACGTGCACGCTCGCGAGCTGCCCGTGCGGGTGCTGCCCTCGTGACGCCAGTAGCGGTGTGAGGTGGAAGCAGCGGAGGAGGAGGGGGAGGCGGCGGGTGGCGCTGCTGACCACTAACCTGACCACTAACCTGACCACTAACCTGACCACTAACCTGACCCCGCTGGCGCCAGGCGGACACTGCATACAACACGGGCGCCAGCGGCCGTCGGTCTTTAACAACTCTGCTTTGACGCTTTCGGTGTTAGCGGTGCTATTAGCCAGTGTGAGATTGCATTTTGCACCCCACAGAATGTGCTGTGTGTTACTTGAACGCCTCCTCTTGACCTCACCACGAGGGTAGCTTAACCCCCAAACCTAATTCTTAATTCTGGTGACGGCGGGGGGAGGGTGGGGGAGAAGACGGGGGGGTAGGCAGATGGGGGGGGTCCTTGGGAAGGCGGCGGATTTAACAATCTCACCCCCACCCCCCCCCCCCCCCCCATGGTTTGATCTGCCCGCGCCCGGAGACGGAACGGAACCGTCGGCCTCTTGGCTAGCGAGTGCGGCGAGACCTTCAAGCCCGTCGCGCCGCCGTGGCAGCGGCATTCGTCAGGCAGGGCAGCAGTGGATATCGAGACGCCGGCCAGAAACACTCCCGCGTAGCCTTTGACCCAATCTCTCGCACCAGATATCTTTTGTAGCCCCCCCCCCTCCACTCCTGCCCCGTTGATGTGGAGATCCCCACCACCACCACCTCCACCGCCGCCCGCCCGCCCTCCCAATCTGTCCGTGCTGTCCACTCCCCGCCTCTGTCGGCAAGTCCAGCCTCAAGGCCTTACCCTTCTACCCTTGCCTATGACTGCCTCTCTCACTCTCTCTGTGTGTTTACAAAGCACGCGCGCCCACTGATTGTCTACAGCGGTGTTCTTCACGCATTTTCAGCGGGGGGAGGGGACGGAGGACACCACTTTCGCCGATAAGACATCGGCGAAAGTGGTGCCCGCCCACACCATTTGAAACCGTTGGGGGTTAGAGAGCAGCATGATGGGGTGTGTTCACTCTTTGTGCATTTAACACGCAGTAGGGCTTTCGCGACCAATACCATCCATAACACAGGGGGGTTTTTTTGGTGGTTAGATCGCATAAATATAAACGTGTCAAATTGTAAATGTTGTGGCGTGGCTCTCCAACACACCGGTGTGCTGTACTCGTGACGAATGGGCCACGTTCTGACAACCCTTACGAGTTGGCTGTGTGGGGAGGTGACGAGTTCTAACGACACATTTACATATTTACGCGATCTAACCCAAAAAAAAAACCCTCTATTATGGATGAACGTGTCGTTAAACCCGCCACCACCTGACACAGCCAACCAGTAAGGTTTGTCACGTAAACAGAACGTGGCCAATTCGTTACTGGTTCAGCGCCACACCGGTTGTGTGTTGGAGAGCAAATCCACAAACATTTACAGAGTACGACGATTCGCCAGGAGTTACAGGCGGCATCATCTGTTGTGCATGTTCGGGGACCGCACTCGAGGCCCTCAGGGGCCGACAGTGGCCCCGCGGGGCCTTGCAATGAAGAGCGCTGCTCTGCAGCGTCTGGGAATGCAGTCGCGTTCAGACTCTGCTCTGTACAAATGCATACTGCGCTGTAGTTGTACACGAGTCGTGTGTCTGTGTGTGTGTGTGTAACGGGGAGCGGTCGTGTAGCGGTTAGCGCTACGCCGCGCTCCGAACCCGCCGTGCCGAGTTCGATTCCCACTCACGGCCAACACCGGTGATGAATATCTGAGCCGGTCCTGGGCCTCTCCTTGGTCGACTCGGCCTCAAATGAGTACCTGGTGCGGTGTGTAACAACATCGCCACCGGGGAGACAAAGGCGGCCGGGCGTGGTGTTGACCACCCACCCCCTCGTGTGCCGTGCCGGCCTTCATAGATGCTCGCAAACAGCACTTGCCCTAATAGTCGTGAGGCTATGCGGGGGATCTTTGTCTTTTTTGTGTGTTCGTGTTTAGCCCCCCCCCCCGCATCTTTACTTCGTCTGGCAATCCCTGTCCTTAAACCCCACGGTTGCCTGGCTGCTGGGGTAAATGTAGGCCCCCCTTTTTTTTTTGGGGGGGGGGTCTATTTGTTCCCCTCATGGAGCCCCCTGACAGCTTCCGACGAGGTTCTGGGGCGCCACGGTGGCTAGGAGATGTTAACTACCTCGCTGGGTATACAGGAGGTCGTGGGTTCGTTCGACCCTGACGCCTGCTGCTGTATATTTGGAGTTTGCGTGTCTCTCTCTCTCTTCCCGTGGTCGCTTGGATTTTTCTCTGGGTCCTCCGCATTTTCCCTCGCACAATTAGAATCAACATCGTCACGCGTTTTGGAGTATTTCTGGCTGCGATGAATGTCCACCTGATGAGATGAGCCGCTTCGTTGAGCTATCATTTGTGGCCACGTCACGCCTCGCAGAGAGCTACGGAGGAGCTCAGTCGGCCTTAACTGGTGAAGTTTCAAAACAAATATTTGAGACTGGGTTCGAAACGACTCTTGATGCCGATGGCACTGCTACTGCTGCTTATGCGTATGATGGTTGTGGTGATGGACCGATGCTGCTGCTGCTGCTTGTGATGGTGGTGATGCTGCTGGTGATGCTTATGTTGATGGAGGTGGAGGTGGTGGTGGTTGTTGACGATGCTGCTGCTGCTGCCAATTCTGCTGCGGATGCCGGCGTGATCATTTGCAAGATGCTGCTGCTCATGCCGCCGATGCGACTGCTGACAAACCGACGCAATTGCTAATGCTGCTGCTTCTGCTCATGCTGCTGTTGATTTCAATTGCTGCTGTTGTTGTTGTTGCTGCTGCTGCTGCTGCTATTAATGCTGGCACAACAGCCAATGACGCTGATGATGCTCTGAAAAGGTGGAACAAGCCTGTTTTAGTGGTTTCGTCAGCAGGAGACGCATACACGGACAAGTTCAAAGATTCTAAAAAAAAAATTCCTTTTGCCACGTTTATCAAACACGATATCAAAAAAACACAGTGATGTTTTGCACAGATGGAATGGACACTTTGCACTGGAATGTATTCGTTAATAAAATAAAATGTGAGCCGATGCAAATATCCGTGAGCTGTGTGGCCTCTGCTTGGTCAGGAGGTTGGAGGATGGGATGGGGAGTGGGGGGCCATCCAAGAGAGGGGGGGCACTGTGGGATAATCGCCCCCCCTACCCTCGCCCCTCACCTGGAGACCACGAGGAGATGGCGAATCCTCGTTTGACGCGGTGAAACGAAAACATCCCCCCTCCCTCTTAATTAAAAATTATACAGGTGTGGCGAGACGTACTACACACACCACGTGGTAAGACGCGACATACTACTACACACACCACGTGGTGAGACGCGACATACTACTACACACACTACGTGATCAGACACGACATACTACTACACACACCACGTGGTGAGACACGACATACTACTACACATCACGTGGTGAGACGCGACATACTACTACACACACTACGTGATCAGACACGACATACTACTACACACACCACGTGATGAGACACGACATACTACTACACACACCACGTGGTGAGACGCGACATACTACTACACACCACGTGGTAAGACGTGACATACTACTACACACATCACGTGGTAAGACGTGACATACTACTACACACACCACGTGGTGAGACACGACATACTACTACACACCACGTGATGAGACTGACATACTACTACACACCACGTGGTGAGACGCGACATACTACTACACACCACGTGGTAAGACGCGACATACTACTACACACACCACGTGATGAGACACGACATACTACTACACACACCACGTGATGAGACACGACATACTACTACACACACCACGTGATGAGACACGACATACTACTACACACACCACGTGGTGAGACACGACATACTACTACACACACCACGTGATGAGACACGACATACTACTACACACACCACGTGATGAGACACGACATACTACTACACACCACGTGATGAGACGTGACATACTACTACACACACCACGTGATGAGACGTGACATACTACTACACACACCACGTGATGAGACACGACATACTACGACACACACCACGTGATGAGACACGACATACAACTACACACACCACGTGGTGAGACACGACATACTACTACACACACCACGTGATGCGACGCAACATACTACTACACACCACGTGATGAGACGCGACATACTACTACACACCACGTGGTGAGACACGACATACTACTACACACACCACGTGATGAGACACGACATACTACTACACACCACGTGATGAGACGTGACATACTACTACACACACCACGTGATGAGACGCGACATACTACTACACAGCACGTGATGAGACACGACATACTGCTACACACACCACGTGATGAGACACGACTTACTACTACACACACCACGTGATGAGACACGACATACTACTACACACACCACGTGGTGAGACGCGACATACTACTACACACCACGTGGTAAGACGTGACATACTACTACACACATCACGTGGTAAGACGTGACATACTACTACACACACCACGTGGTGAGACACGACATACTACTACACACCACGTGATGAGACGTGACATACTACTACACACCACGTGGTGAGACGCGACATACTACTACACACCACGTGGTAAGACGCGACATACTACTACACACACCACGTGATGAGACACGACATACTACTACACACACCACGTGATGAGACACGACATACTACTACACACACCACGTGATGAGACACGACATACTACTACACACACCACGTGGTGAGACACGACATACTACTACACACACCACGTGATGAGACACGACATACTACTACACACACCACGTGATGAGACACGACATACTACTACACACCACGTGATGAGACGTGACATACTACTACACACACCACGTGATGAGACGTGACATACTACTACACACACCACGTGATGAGACACGACATACTACGACACACACCACGTGATGAGACACGACATACAACTACACACACCACGTGGTGAGACACGACATACTACTACACACACCACGTGATGCGACGCAACATACTACTACACACCACGTGATGAGACGCGACATACTACTACACACCACGTGGTGAGACACGACATACTACTACACACACCACGTGATGAGACACGACATACTACTACACACCACGTGATGAGACGTGACATACTACTACACACACCACGTGATGAGACGCGACATACTACTACACAGCACGTGATGAGACACGACATACTGCTACACACACCACGTGATGAGAAACGACTTACTACTACACACACCACGTGGTGAGACGTGACGTACTACTACACACACCACGTGGTGAGACGCGAGATACTACTACACACACCACGTGATGACACGTGACATACTACTACACACCACGTGATGAGACGCGACATACTACTACACACCACGTGATGAGGCGCGACATACTACTACACACCACGTGGTGAGACACGACATACTGCTACACACCACGTGATGAGACGTGACATACTACTACACACACCACGTGGTGAGACGCGACATACTACTACACACCACGTGGTGAGACGTGACATACTACTACACATACCACGTGATGAGACGTGACATACTACTACACACCACGTGGTGAGACACGATATACTGCTACACACCACGTGATGAGACACGACATACTACTACACACACCACGTGATGAGACGCGACATACTACTACACATACCACGTGGTGAGACGTGACATATTACTACATACACCACGTGATGAGACGCGACATACTACTACACACCACGTGATGAGACACGACTTACTACTACACACACCACGTGGTGAGACGTGACATACTAGTACACAGCACGTGATGAGAAACGACATACTACTACACACACCACGTGATGAGACGCGACATACTACTACACATACCACGTGGTGAGACGTGACATACTACTACACACACCACGTGATGAGACGCGACATACTACTACACATACCACGTGGTGAGACGTGACATACTACTACACACACCACGTGATGAGACGCGACATACTACTACACACCACGTGATGAGACACGACTTACTACTACACACACCACGTGGTGAGACGTGACATACTACTACACACACCATGTGGTGAGACGTGACATACTACTACACACCACGTGGTGAGACACGACATACTACTACACACACCACGTGATGAGACGCGACATACTACTACACACACCATGTGGTGAGACGTGACATACTACTACACACCACGTGATGAGACACGACATACTACTACACACACCACGTGATGAGACGCGACATACTACTACACATACCACGTGGTGAGACGTGACATACTACTACATACACCACGTGATGAGACGCGACATACTACTACACACCACGTGATGAGACACGACTTACTACTACACACACCACGTGGTGAGACGTGACATACTAGTACACAGCACGTGATGAGAAACGACATACTACTACACACACCACGTGATGAGACGCGACATACTACTACACATACCACGTGGTGAGACGTGACATACTACTACACACACCACGTGATGAGACGCGACATACTACTACACATACCACGTGGTGAGACGTGACATACTACTACACACACCACGTGATGAGACGCGACATACTACTACACACCACGTGATGAGACACGACTTACTACTACACACACCACGTGGTGAGACGTGACATACTACTACACACACCATGTGGTGAGACGCGACATACTACTACACACCACGTGGTGAGACGTGACATACTACTACACACACCACGTGATGAGACGTGACGTACTACTACACACACCACGTGGTGAGACGCGACATACTACTACACACACCACGTGATGAGACGTGACATACTACTACACACACCACGTGATGAGACACGACATACTACTACACACCACGTGATGAGACGTGACATACTATTACACACACCACGTGATGAGACGCCACATACTACTACACACCACGTGATGAGACACGACATACTACTACACACCACGTGATGAGACGTGACATACTATTACACACACCACGTGATGAGACGCCACATACTACTACACACCACGTGATGAGACACGACTTACTACTACACACACTACGTGATGAGACGTGACGTACTACTACACACACCACGTGATGAGACGCCACATACTACTACACACCACGTGATGAGACACGACATACTACTACACACCACGTGATGAGACGTGACATACTATTACACACACCACGTGATGAGACGCCACATACTACTACACACCACGTGATGAGACACGACTTACTACTACACACCACGTGATGAGACTGTGTTCAACCACCACCACCACTGTGTCCAACCACCACCACCACCACTGTGGTCAACTACCACCACTGTGTTTTAACCACCACCACCACTGTGTCCAACCACCACCACCACCACTGTGGTCAACTACCACCACTGTGTTTTAACCACCACCACCACTGTGTCCAACCACCACCACCACCACTGTGGTCAACCACCACCACTGTGTCCAACCACCACCACTGTGTTCAACCACCACCACCACTGTGGTCAACCACCATCACCATCATCACCAGCACCACCATCACCACCACCACTACCATTATCACCAGCACCACCATCACCACCACCACCATCATCACCACCACCACCATCACCACCAGCACCACCATCACCACCATCACCACCATCACCATCACCACCAGCACCACCATCACCACCAGCACCACCATGACCACCACTACCATCATCATCACCACCACCATCATCACCATCACCAGCACCACCAGCACCACCAGCACCACCATCACCACCATCATCGTCCCTGTGCACCTCGACACTTTACAACAACGACCTCGCTCAGCTCAAGAAATGTGTCACGCTCTCATGATCTGGCACAACGTTGATCATTATTAATTAGATAACGGTGGGAGCGGTGGGGCAGCGGTTAGCGCACTCGCGCTACGAACCCTGCCGCCCGAGTTCGAGTCCCGCTCACGGCAAACACCGGTGACGATTGTCTGAACGAACCGGCCGTGGGGCTCTCTCCTAGGTCGACTCGGCCTCAAATGAGTACCCGGCCGCAGTGTGCAAACATCGCCACTGGGGGAGACAAAGGCGGCCGGGCGTGGTGCTGGCTACCCACACCCCTCGTGTGCCGAGCCGGCCTTCACAGATGCTCGCTAACAGCACTTGCCCCGGCAGTCTGTGAAGGCTACACGGGGGATCTTTGCCTTGTGCTCAATCGCAGCACTTGCCCCGGCAGTCTGCGAAGGCTACACGGGGGATCTTTGTCTGTGTCTGTCACTGTGTGTGTCCACGGCTATGAGGATATCCTCCTGCAGCCCCCCCCCCCCACATCTCTCTCGCTCTCTCGTACATCTGTCCCACCACTCGCTGTCGCTGCTGCTGAGCTGAGAGGGGGTTCCTGGGGCAGTGGAGGAGGGGGTCGTGCGTGGCGTCGTGGCTGCTTCTCCTTCTCCTCCTTCTTCTCCAGCGACCTCCATCTCCTTCCCAATTCGGCAACGGCATCGTCCTCCACGCCGAGGAGATCGTGCACGCACGCGTCAGGGACTAGGACTCTCAGACAGACAGGCAGACTACCAGAGAGACAGGCAGACTACCAGAGAGACAGGCAGACTACCAGAGAGACAGGCAGACTACCAGAGAGACAGGCAGACTCTCATATAGAGAGGCAGACTCTCATATAGACAGGCAGACTATCAGACAGACAGGCAGACTCTCAGACAGACAGGCAGACTATCAGACAGACAGGCAGACTATCAGACAGACAGGTAGACTTTCAGAGAGACAGGCAGGCTATCAGACAGACAGGCAGACTCTCAGAGAGACAGGCAGACTATCAGACAGACAGGCAGACTATCAGACAGATAGGCAGACTATCAGACAGACAGGCAGACTCTCAGACAGACAGGCACACTCTCAGACAGACAGGCAGACTATCAGACAGACAGGCAGACTCTCAGACAGACTATCAGACAGACAGGCAGACTATCAGACAGACTCTCAGACAGACAAACAGACATTCTCTCAGACAGACAGGCAGACTATCAGACAGACAGGCAGACTCTCAGACAGACTATCAGACAGACAGACTCTCAAAGGGACAAGCAGACTCTGAGACAGACAGGCAGACTATCAGACAGACAGGCAGACTCTCAGACAGACAGGCAGACTCTCAGACAGACAGACTATCAGACAGACAGGCAGACACACACAGACGGACCAGCAGGCCGACAGGACCAGCCCAGCAGACAGCAAGGAGCGAGCCGCCGTCTCGCCATGGCTCGCAGAGCGACTTCCCTCGCCTCCTCATCGCTGCTCCTCGTCTCCCTCCTCGTCCTCCTCCTCGTCCACATCGTCGCGTCCTTACCGCAGGCGCAGGTAAGCGATGGGCATCTGCGTAGAAGGGTGCGGTGGCCAGGTGAGCTGTGGTGAAGGTGGCGGCGACGACGATGATTATGATGATGGTGGTGTTAGAAGGAAGAGGTGGTGGTGGTGGTGATGATCATGATGAAGGTTGCATCCTGAGCACAATGATGGTGAGGATGATGACGACGTGTGTGATTGTTGGATTTCTTTCGCACCGTACGCGGCCAGCCGTGCAAATCTGAGGTGCGGGAGGGGGGATGGCGATGGTAGGAGGGGAAGCTGTGAACATGATGATGACGATGAGATGATGACGATGAAATGATGACGATGAGATGATGTCCATGACGTAGGACGATGATGATCGTGATTATGAAAGCAAATAAGAACGTGACATGATGACGGTGGTGGAGATTGATGATGCACGTGATGATGATGATGATCACAGTGATGATGATGCGCGAGATGATGATCACGTGATGATGATCACCACGCGACATGGTAGTTAGGAGATGTTAACTACCTCGCCTGCTACGCAGGAGGTCGTGGGTTCGATCCCGACCATGACAACGCCTGAATATTTGCAGGTTGCCTCTCTCTCTCATCATCACGGTGGCTAGGAGATGTTAACTACCTCGCCTGCTACGCAGGAGGTCGTGGGTTCGATCCCGACCCTGATGCCTGCTGCTGCTGTATATTTGAAGTTTGCGTGTCTCTGTTTTCTCTCCCCGTGGTCGCGTGGATTTTTCTCCGGGTCCATCCGGTGTCTCCCTCGCACATTTAGAATCAACATTCGTTCAGCGTAGTCGGCTGCTGCTATAACTGTTCACGCGATGGGCCACTTTCATTGAGCTGTCGTCTGTGATTGCCAGGTCGCTTCTGAAAGAGTCAAAAAGGAGCTCAGTGGGGCCTTGCCCGGTAAAATAAAAACGTAGATGATGCACTGAATCATAAGAAAATATAATAATACTGTGTCCATGACGACGACGACGACGATGCTTACACAGATGGGGATTACGATTATACAGATGCTGATGATGCTGATGATTATGCCCATGATGTTACTGATGATGACGCTGATGATGATGCCCATGATGTTGCTGATGGTGTTGCATCTGATGATGCACCATTATGATGATGGTGGTGGAAATGATAACGATGATGGTGCACATGCATATGATGCACACAATGATGATGGTGGTGATGACGGTGATGCATATGATGATGCAGATGATGATGATGACGGTGCACATGATGATGGTGATGACGGTGCACATGATGATGATGGTGATGACGGTGCACATGATGATGGTGATGACGGTGCACATGATGATGATGGTGCGCATGATGATGATGGTGCGCATGATGATGGTGCACATGATGATGACGGTGCACATGATGATGGTGATGGCGGTGCACATGATGATGGTGATGACGGTGCACATGATGATGATGGTGCGCATGATGATGGTGATGGCGGTGCACATGATGGTGGTGATGACGGTGCACATGATGATGGTGGTGATGACGGTGCACATGTTGGTGATGACGGTGCACATGATGATGATGGTGCACATGATGATGATGACGGTGCACATGATGATGATGGTGCACATGATGATGATGGTGCACATGATGATGATGATGGTGCACATGATGATGGTGATGACGGTGCACATGATGATGGTGCACATGATGATGGTGATGACGGTGCGCATGATGATGACGGTGCACATTATGATGACGGTGCACATAATGATGGTGATGATGGTGCACATGATGATGATGGTGCGCATGATGATGGTGATGACGGTGCACATGATGATGATGATGACGGTGCACATGATGATGGTGCACATGATGATGGTGCACGTGATGATGGTGATGATGGTGCACATGATGATGGTGATGATGGTGCACATGATGATGGTGATGACG